AAACACTTAACCCTAATTTGAAAGTTAACTTTCTTCTTAAAAAAAAATAAGAAAATAAAAGAATAACCAAAAAAAAACACCTAACCCTAATTTGAAAGTTTCTCCTTAAAAAAAAAATTACTTTGTTATTCTTTTATTTGTCAATGTTTATATATATTTGAAAGTTAACTTTCTTCTTAAATTAAGTACAAAAAAAAAAATCACTTTACGGAAGCATGTACTAATTTCTACAAGGAAGTAAATAGGCCCAAATTGTATACGTCCACCAACAAAATTCAGCACTGAATTACTTATCAATAAGCCAGTAATGGCTGACAAAAGACTAGGAAAAAGTCCGATTTTTTTTTTGAGTTGTTAACATCCAAAAATGTAGGTTTCTTCAATATTTGAGTTCAGCATATACATTTGCACAGAAATAAGACTATTTTGGAAAAATTTGAAGGGATATTAGCGCTCAGGTGTTAAAATGAAAATTTACCATATACACTTAGGCAATCATATATCTTTCAATACATGACTGCGAGGCAAATTGTTTCCCATAGTAAGTTGCCATTTCTTCCTGCTGTAGACCAGTTGCCCTCCAGTCTGTCCTGCTATTTATCCATAGCTGGGGGTAAAAGAAGAGGATTTATAACTTTCCCAAGGGTATTAGCATGTAAGTCAATGTAATGGATTCAACTGGAATTCAAACACAGCTCTCCGATTCCTCAATCTGAGCCACTATCGATTACTCCACCATGCTTCCTGCATGACAACAAAGTTTTAGAATAAAATAGAAGCAAAAAGGACACTTATGCTTAACATCAGGGAAAGAAATATTTATAGGACACATAATATGGAAAGAGGGCTTGGAAAATCTGATACTCACAGGACAAATTGAAGGCAAGTGTGACAGAGGAAAACAATGCATAACCTACTAAGTGAGTTTATTTAAATGGATGACGGAACAAGGTTTAGGAAAATTAATAAAAAGACAAAATTTATTAAGAGCTACAAAAGACAGGAAATTGTGGAGACCCATGATCACCTACATCCTGAAGGGTACACAACAGACAGAGAAGAAGATGAAAAAAAAGAAATAAAAAATGAGACAAAATATTTTTCTTAATTTATTTTTGCCATGTAAAGAAATTGTTCTGAGATCTTAAAATAAAGAATTACATCCCTTAGATATCATCCAATTTATCCTGAAACTGTGCATCAGGTAAATGCTAGAAATGTTCCATTTTTGATTAACATGGCAGTTAATGGCCGAGAAACTGTTTATATTGGCACATAATCAAGATTAATGATGAAAGGATATATTTCATATATTATTTCCTACTTTGTTAATGCACTTAATCACCAAAGTTAAGCAATGTCAAACCCAATCAGCACTTAGATACGGAGAGACTAAGTAATGTCAGTCAAAACTGGGTAAAAAAACCAGTTGGGTATGCAACTTGCAACTTCATTCCATAAAACCTTACTTGCTATGGAAACCACAATGGCAAGGCCTCATGTTGTTGAGAACTGTGCCCCCACACTCCTTAGCGGAGTCTATGGAACTAAAGAAAGAGGAAACATTCACAAAAACATTGGGAACTTTATCACCAAAAGTTTAAAAGTTATACAATACACTTTGGTCAATATTATCCAATTTCAAATTATTGGTTAAATCTTAATGTGCATTGAAAATGTAATGAATATGACATGAGGGTGACCTTGCCAGTCTAATAAATTTTAACAATATTGTCCCGTTTAAATATCAAGCAGAGTGGTTATTTGCCAAAAAAGAAATATCTCATACTGGCAGGAAAACTGTTTCAGTGGGTCGTGCCAGACAATGTTTCTTGCCAGAATCCAACTTGCAAGCTTATAAATCTACCATTTGTCTGTTATAATATTGATGCCACATCTGGTCTGGTGTGCCAGCTATATATATATATATATATATATATATATATATATATATATATATATATATATACCAAGATTCTTGATGATATCCAAAAAAGAATCTACAATGTTATCAGTCATGACCTGGCATCTCAAATTCAGTCACTCTTCGACCTCTGTAACGTAGCTTATCTGTGCCTTTTTTATAAGTACTTTTGGCAGATGAACATTTGCGTACGAGAGAAATGCATCCCTGGATAATTGTGTATCTCTGATAATTTTTTGAAGTTATCATTCTTTTTAAAGAGTTGTCTAATACAGAAATTTGTACACCAATACCTTTAATTACCATAAACAAGCAGAAATATAGTTACTATAAAAAAAAAAAAAAAGAAAGAAAATTTTCTTTTTTAAAGCAAGAGAAAATTAAGCTAGCAGTTTTAGTTCACTCCAGCAGTGCGTACCACAAACATACAAATAGATTCTGGATTTTATAGATTATATTTTTATTTGGAACCCATGGCTAAGTTCCGAAAATCAAACACTGATGGAAAAATATTTGTAGACAAGGAAAATTACAGCTATTGCTATCATAAGAAAAATGTCAATGAAACAAAAACATATTGGCAATGTGTAGAGTAATCTTGCAATACTGTTAATCTGTCATTGCCTTTTAAACAAAAATGAACTTTTAATTTTTATTTTAATTCTTTTTTAAAAATTAATGCTTACTTCTTTTCTTTTTATGTGCCTTGTCCTTTCAGGATGTAGGCAATCATGGCTCTCCACTTCCCCCTATAATTAGTGACTCATAATAAGTTTCGTGCCTCTGCCAACTACCCCAGACCATGTTCTGCCATCTTTCTTAAACCCGCCAGGCATGTCATGCATTGCTTTCCCTTGTATCTTTTCCCCTCTATTCGATCTGTGAGTATCAGATTATCCAGACCATCTTAACTCATGTCCCAGAAATTTCATCTGTCTCTTCCTTATGCCTCAGGGTTCTTGATAGGCTCAAGAGGCGGATATGCAATATAATTGGCCCTGTTCTGGCATCTCGTCTACAGTCCCTTTCTCACAGACACGCTGTTGCCTCTCTCTGTCTTTTTTACAAATACTTTCATGGCAATTGCTCCGAGGAGTTGCATTCGCTGGTTCCCAGACTTCATGAGTTCAAGCGCCCTACGAGCCTGGCATCCCGCTCTCACTCTTTCACTGTCGAAACTCCTAAATGTAGCCGTCTCTTCTACTCCAATAGCTTCATGTCTCGCACTTCCTCTTTGGTACCAGTATTTTCATAGCAATTGTTCAAATGAGCGTTCCTCTTTGGTACCAGTATTTTCATAGCAATTGTTCAAATGAGCATTCCTTTTTGGTACCAGTATTTTCATAGTAATTGTTCAAATGAGCATTCCTCTTTGGTACTTCAACCACATAGTACAAGATTATGAAGAAAATAGCTTTATGTAAGTGTACGTTCTATTCTAACAGTTTCTTCTCTCACACTTCTTGCCTGTGGATCTCTCTTCTGATTTATTGCTTTCCTGTCAAGAATGATTATCAAATATTTAAAAAAGGATCATCAATCACCATTCTTTTCATCTTTCTAAATCATGTTTTTGCATTGTCTTTTCTCCCCACTAATGTTTTCTCATTTTTTTTTGTTAATCATTTCATCCCAAGCAAGTCAATAAAGCTACTGGGATGCAAGAGATTTCCAAGTGTTAAAGAATACGAGAAAAATAACTATTAAGGAAAGAGGACAATAAAAGAATAAGAATTAAGAAGACAGAAGATAACGATTGACATTGTATTTAAATCTATGACAATCAAAGGAAATAAAGCTACTAGGATGCAAGAGATTACTGAATGTTAGAGAATCTGAGAAAAACTACTATTAAGGAGAGAAGAAAATAAAAGAGTAAGAATTAAGAAGACAGAAGGTAACAAGTGACATTGCATTTAAACTTCTGAAGATCAAAGTTGATTAGGAAGCAAGAACCCAGAAGAGAGTTCCACAGGCAAGAAGTGCAATAGAAGAAACTGTTAGCATAGAACTAACGGTAACATTTAGCCATTTCTATCCTTTTCTTTGCCATTTCTTTATAACTTCCTCATTATTCACATGGTCAGTCTGTAGCATTCTCAACATCCTTCTGTAGAACCACATTTCTATTACCTCAAATCTCTTCTTCATCTGTGAGGAGACTGTCCAAAATTAACTGGACAGGTGGACAGATATTACATAACAGTTCAATAATCTTTTTGTTATAACAGAGTTATCAAAAACAACAGTAGAAAACTGGAATTGGTTTAAGAACAAATTTATTACCTTTTGGTACAGGGAAACATAATGTAGAATAGAAACTAATGTTTAACCGTGAATGACTGTTTAAAAAAAAGCTCCTGCTGCTACTCCTCTTGATGTAGGAGTATTTTTATGTCTTTTGTCTGACAACTGAGTCCAAACTTGTAGGGAAATATTCTCCCTCACAACACTTTTCTTTCTTTCTAATGAAATTTTCTTGTTTCTTAATACTTTGCTAGGCTTTTGAAAGGGATCTTTCACTATACCAATGCTTTGGATTTAAGTGTCGCCCTTCAGGTCCTATTCCAATGCAGTTTCAGATTTCGGTGTTGCATTTTTCTGTCCTCTGTTAAAACACTTCCCAGATATTCAAATTGTTGCACTTGCTTGATTTTGACATCTCCAATTTGTATCTCGCATGTTCGGCTTTGAAGAGATTTTGTAGTTTTTTTTTTTTTGTCTGCTATCAACACTGAGTCATCTGCATAACTTATGTTGTTAAGATTATGCTTGCCAAAAATGAATCCTGATAGGCTATCAAATTCTCTCAGAATTGGTTTACGGTTACATCAAGTTGAAACACTAGTTCCTGTATAATCAGCAAAGCAAAGCAAATCAAGCCTAGTTATTTTGGGGAATACCAGAAGCTGTAAGTTTAGATATGCAAGATGTATAGCTTATGGTCATATCATGTTGAAACATTGGTTCACATATGTTCACTGAAGTTAAGTAACATCGAGCCTGGTTAGCACCTAAATGGGTGACTACTTGGGAATAACAGAAGCTTTGTTTAAATATGTGTGATGAATGGCTTATGACCATATTATGTTGAAAAACAGTTCCCATATGATCACTGAAGTTAAGCTACGTGAAACCTGGTCAGTACCTAGATGGGTGACCACTTGGGAATACCAGAAGCTGTAATTTTGAATATGTGTGATGAATGGTTTATGGTCATATCATGTTGAAAACCCGGTTCCTCTATGATCACTGAAGTTAAGCTACATCAAGCCTGGTCAGTACCTAGATGGGTGACCACTTGGAAATACCAGAAGCTATAAATTTGAATATGCATGTGACATAATGGATAATGGAATTGTTAAATGGAGGGCCAAGTTCCAATTCCCATTGGGTTTGTTATATTTACTTATGCACAAATACCCTTGGGAAAAGTATGAATCCACCTCTTCTCTCCCCAGCTATGGGTTAATTAGTAAGACTTGTATCACTAAACCATTATTATCTCAAAACAAATAAATAAATAAAAAGTTCTTAGAATCTAAAAAAATATTTTCTGGCTTTAAATAACCTGCAATGGGTTGATAAGCCGTAGAAAATGAAACAATCAGTTGAAAAAGTCTGATGAGAAAACACATCCTAATCAGACAGATATCAGCAGATCTTTTGTTATATCATGTCTTCAGTATGAGGATAAACTATATTTGGAAGCAAAGCTTCTGATCAGGAGGTTTTGAGGGATGTGGAACACCATCTTAATTGCTATTTTCCCAGGTTCACCCTAACCCAGGTTGATCGCACCTGTTAGGGTGCCAGCTATGGGCTAATATTGAACCCCCAAGCTGGGGTCAAAACATGAAGATATATAAATATATTAGAAAAAATTACCAGCAATACATTTTCATAGTCAAAAAAAAAAAATAAACAGATTACCCACAATACATTATTGGAAAAAAAACATTTCAGCATTAAATGACCCTTAAGGTGTTGATATATATTTTTTCTTTTTTCTTTTTTTTTTAAGCATTTCACATCATGCAACTTGAGAGTGCCACTGTTTCACAGAGTGAAGGTGAGAGAAAAACTGTGTATAAGGGAGAATGAGGAAAGGATAAAAGATGAACAGGGTTCAAGACATCAGAAGATGGCGATTGGCATTGCATTTAAATTTTTGAAGATTATAGTTATCAGGGAATCAAGTAAATAGAAGGGAGTTCCACAGACAGGAAGCGCAAAAAACAAAGCCATTAAACTAGAAGTAGCAGTTACATTTAACCATTTCAATGATAAAAGGGTGGGACCTAGATGCTAGTCTTGTAACACGCTTAAATTTATGTAGTTGAGGCACCAGGGAAAAATGCTCAACAAAACAGTTGCCATGAAAATATTTGTAGAAAAGACAGAGGGAAGCCACTTCACATCTGTGAGAAAGTGACTGCAATCAAGATGCCAAGTCAGGATCAATGACATTGCAGATTCTTCTTTGGATTTTGTCAAGAACCTTGAGATGAACAGCTGGAGCACCAGACAAGATATGGCAACAGTATTCAATGCATGGACAAATGGTACATCTGTAGATATGTAGGATGAAGAAAAACCTTCTGGCACAAGACAAACTTTACTTGCAACAGGCACAGCTATTGACTCAATGTAGTTGTTCCATTTCAAGTCATTTAAGAGGGTAAGGCCAAGAAAACACAGCGAGGCACTCTCCTAGAGTCTACCATCCTAATGGCGGGCAAGGAATTATCTCTGTGGTGGCTATGCTGTTAAACAAAGCAAACTGATTGTATCATATCAGTGATACTAAGAGAGACATGGATTTCCAACAGGCATCTAAAGTAATAAGTGGCTACAAGTCCTAATTCTGACATCAAGCTGGCAGTAGCCATTTTTTCAAGTTCTCTTTTAAATTATCTAATCATTCTTTCATTTTTCTTTGTTTCTGCAAATCAATCCCTAAAAGCAAATTGCTTCTTTCCCATACATGAACATCACAGATAAAAATCTGACCATATTTTTCTTTCCACTTCATTGACAAATAATGCTATCCTTTAAGTTTTACTGAGTTTGAAGAGATTGCCGAAGGAGAAATCCGAAAACAGAGAGACAGAAGTCACAAAATGGTCACTTCAGGCTATTCAAGACAATGTTTCATCGAAGCAATTCCCCAAATTATACAACAGTCTGCTAAAACTACCTCAAACAGAAAGTTTGGATAATTTAAGCATTTCTACAGTTTAGGCACACAGGGGAAAATGATAATACAGTCAAACCTCTCTTCAGCTGACTAATGGGGGGGGGTCTGTTAAAGCCAATTGTCTCTAGATGGGAAGGGATTATTTTTTACTATATTTCTGAGATGAAGTATTATGTACATTATTTATTTTATTTGAACTATTGTCCTCATCTTTGGCGTCATATTCATTACACCATTTTGGCCGTTGTATGCTCTGGCCTTCTTCTGGTGGTTGGAATGTTGAATTTAACCCTTTATTTCAGTCACTGGGGTAGACTCTTCTAGTTCCACATGCCATGTTTAATGGATGTCCTCAAGGACACATGGCACAGTGGATAAAGGCATTGGTTAGATCCAGTGACAGGACCCAAAGAGTGTGAGTTCAATACCCGGTTAAGGCAGTGGAGAACTTTCAGAGGGAAATTAACAGGAGATAACTGATAACTGACATCCATTAAACATGGCACGTGGAACTAGAACAGTCTACCCCAGTGAGCGAAATAAAGGGTTCAATTTGACATTTCAACCACCTGAAGATTAATATTTTAAAGTGTACAACGGTTGAAACATTGTAATAAATATGGCGACAAAGATGAGGACAATAATCCGCATAATGTAAATAATGTGATTGTTTTTGAGTTATGAAACCACTATAGTAACTATCAGTAGTTATGATCATCATGTAAATACTATAAACATGTACATATGGTATAAATAAATATATACTTAATATTTTTTTTTTTAACATACAACATGTGTTAGCACATGTGATACCTTTGTCTTCATCAGCTGTCGTGGGTTTCTGGGACATTCGGTCATTTCCTTCCTTTCGAAAATAGGCAATTTTGGCCGTTTTTAAAAAGTGTTTCTCTTTATCTGCCTTTAAAAAAACTGTTTTTTTCTTCAAGTTGGATTTGGTCAAGATCAAAACAAGCAAATAAAAATTAGCGAAACATCAGAATATAACATGAAAGTGAGATATTTTGTGGTCGTCTATTATTTCTTTTGAAATTTCGTCAATAACGGCTTTTAGCGTTCAAGAAATTTTCATTGCAGATAGATTTTACTTAAAGGAACAATTAGTTAGCTTATCTTCATACCCTGCCTGGTGGCAAACACTGCTGGTCTTTTTAAAAAAAGTCCGCTATAGCCACCAAAATGTGATATCACCCCTGGTTTCTCTGATGAAGACAGGGTATTTTTCTTTAAATAAAACCGTTCTTTGTTAAAAAAAAAAATATTAATCAAAATAAGAAAAAAAATAATAGATTTCTCACAGACACTTTTCATGTATATGCTAATGGATTTTATTTTCAGTCTTTGTTTACAAAAAAAGGCCCATCACTGCCACCAAGCATTCACTTTGAGAACTAATGCAATTTGTAAAACCATCCTGCAAATTTTTGAAATACATCGCTGATGAACATTTTTATTTTTTCCTCCAGTTTTTTTTTTTTTATTTTGCCTGCAAAATTTTGTCTATTTTGCATTAAGTCAACAAAATGGGGGGGTTCGTTGCAGAGTGGTTTGTCTGTATTTGGATTGCGTTATCTTTGCTAAATGTATGCATTGGAACTTTTATAGGATTTATTCCAGTGAAGCTGGCTATTGGTAAATTCTATAAAATGGTATAAAATTCTAAACTAGACATTGAATCTGGCCACTGATAATTCTATAAAATTCTATATACTTTATAAATCTATAAACTTCATGTAATGGCTTAAAGAAAGCAAGCCAAAAAGAAATGAAAAAAAAATAAAATCTAGTCAAGAAATTATCTATCAAAATTTGGGAAAATGACAATGATCTGTAACTGTGGTTCCCAAACATTTCTTCCCTGGGCTACATTTTTGGAATTAGAATTTGCTCACGCCTCACCAAATTTTATGTGATAAAAAGTACATATAAAAATAAAAAGAAACAGAGAGAGGATTAAAGGGAGATAACCACAGATTCAAAGTCAGAACATTATCATTGATAACTCTCCTCTCCAATTTGCTGACCCTAGTTACTTCTTATTCTTACTTGATGTAATGCAAAAATATCCCAATACTAAAATCAGTCAATATTTATAACTATTTATACTGGGACTCATGCATACAATTACAAGTAATCTATAATAATATTTTAAATTTTTAAATCATATTTATTTTTGGCATATGAATTTTTTGAAATTGTTTCTAAATCTTTGATTGTCTTTTAATCATTCTGCCTCCCCTGCTGTCATTTTCTATGAGATGTGCTGTACTGTTTGGGAACCACAGATCTATAACATTATTTTTCTGCCTCTTTTCAAAGATCACAATTCACATAGCCCTCTAGGAGTTGTTCTTCTCATAGACAGGCTGCCATGATGAATTCTTTTCTTATTGGTTGGGTATCTTCTAACAAAGAGGGACAGAAAAATCAGCAGCACCTGAATCAGACACTGAAGAAGCTGAACATTGAATCATGACGGATCAGGGCACGAACAAGACTTCCATACAGGAGCACTACACATACAGGATGAACACAACTGAGACAAAACAAAGGATGTACGAATTTCAAACGACACTGGGTGACATGATTAGAAATCCTCAGTAACATACAGCAATCTTGTTATAAGATCGACATTGGCACACTGCCGGTCTGTATCTTCCCTTTAGGGGTTGGCGAGCAAAATGAATCATTTGCATAGCTAACACTGCTCAGCTCACCATCCCGACTATTTCATGGGGAAGACACTTTCTTTGTAAACAGACATCCCCAGGGTTTGTAACAGCTCTGTTCCAGCATGGTAGCCATTCGCTTTCTTTCTGCAGAGACAGCACACTAAATGTTTTCTCTTTGACTGACAGGGGGTGGGTACCATTTTCGGTAGCAGTAAGCAGCTCTGTCTGCATTTTGTTTCTGCTACGTGCCAACCAGTCTCAAAATCAATCAGTTCTGTAACCCATTAAGATTCAATATAATTGTCCTCTCTCCTTAATAGAAGTTTTTCTCATATTCTCTAATAATTCACTTCAGGCTCATTTGAATTCTTTCTTGCCCTTAAAGATTTGTTCAATATCCATGGTTAAAAAAATAAAATGAATATGGT